GAGACTGCGGATGCAGTACAGGAGACGACCGGAGACTGCGGATGCGGTACAGGAGACGACCGGAGATTGCGAACGCGGTACAGGAGACGACCAGAGACTGCGGACACGGTACAGGAGACGACCGGAGACTGCGGACACGGTACAGGAGACGACCGGAGACTGCGGACACGGTACAGGAGACGACCGGAGACTGCGGACATGGTACAGGAGACGACCGGAGACTGCGGACACGGTACAGGAGACGACCGGAGACTGCGGACACGGTACAGGAGACGACCGGAGACTGCGGACACGGTACAGGAGACGACCGGAGACTGCGGACACGGTACAGGAGATGACCGGAGACTGCGGACACGGTACAGGAGACGACCGGAGACTGCGGACACGGTACAGGAGACGACCGGAGACTGCGGACACGGTACAGGAGACGACCGGAGACTGCGGACACGGTACAGGAGACGGTTGGAGACTGCGGACACGGTACAGGAGATGACCAGAGACTGCGGACTTTTTTTTTTTCAGCTGGAACTCTGCTTTAAGAGGTAACTTCTTTGGGCCCTGCCTGCCGCTGCTACAGAAGAACCGAATGGCCGGCCCGGTATTCTAACACGGCAGTGATGGGGAATACCAGGCCGGATGCTCCATATTCGCTCCATAAGACGCACAGACATTTTCCCCCATTTTTTGGGGGGAAAAAAGTGCGTCTTATGGAGCAAAAAAATACGGGTAAATGCCAAGAAAGTGAGAGACCCCAGATAGAGGAATGAGGAACACCACACTTGACTGGACCGTCTTCAGACCGGAATCTGCCAAGAGAAATATAATGACAGGGATCAGTAAGATATGACCATTTCAGAGCCAAGTCTGAGACCCCAAGCATGGTTCAATGGAGACATTCGCACAGGTATGCAAATGTGCCGCATTCAGATCCATAAGCCTTTCAGTGTGGTGCATGACCGTGTTCATTGAACTTAAAGTGTATGTCCAGCCAAAATGGACTGGGGAAAGCATTAGAACCCCTGTCAGGTTTTTACTATGATCTGGGGTTCTGCTAAAGAGGTTTCTCCATCTTCTGTCCTGCTGACATCTTACCAGACAAATCTAGAATCTAGAAACAAAATGCATAATGTACCAGAGTAGGGCAAGGCTTGAGGAATTTTCAGATTTTAATTTCTGTGTGTCCTTGTTGCAGATTTTTCTCTAACTTCCAGTTAAAAGTAGTTTTCAATAAAATGATACCCGGGGAACCTGCTTTGAAGGTCCTTATTCAACTTCTTGTTATGGGTGTCAGAGCCTGGGTCTGAACCTGTTCCTTCTGCAGTGAGGGGCAATGTTTCTTCTTGCTGAGCCACCCAGAATGCTGGACAGCTCCCTTGACAATTATTTGGATGATCCTACCTTGACCTTGTTTGCCATGAACCTTGAACCCCTTGCTCCTCCCATGAACTTCCTGATATAAGCCATGTCTCTGCACTTCCTGTTTGCTAGATTATTGTGCTTTCCAGCCAGATTCTCGCTCCTTGCCTGCTCTGCTGTTATCCTGTTATCCATATTTTGCTATCACTCTTTATTGACCCTTGGCTTGTTCTCGACTACGCTTCTGCCTGATCCCAACCTGCGACTGCTCGTTACCAACCTTGGCTTGTTCTCGACTACTCTTCTGCCTGATCCCAACCGACTGCGACTGCTCATTACCGACCTTGGCTTGTTCTCGACTACGCTTCTGCCTGATCCCAACCTGCGACTTCTCATTACCGACCTTGGCTTGTTCTCGATTACGCTTCTGCCTGATCCCAACCTGCGATTGCTCATTACCAACCTTGGCTTGTTCTCGACCATGCTTTTTACCGACCTGATCTCGAACCTGCGATTGCTCTCATTACCAACCTTGGCTTGTTCTCGACCATGCTTCTGCCATTACCGATCCTCAACCTGCGACTGCTCATTACCGACCTTGGCTTGTTCTCGACTACGCTTCTGCCTGATCCCAACCTGCGACTTCTCATTACCGACCTTGGCTTGTTCTCGACTACGCTTCTGCCTGATCCCAACCTGCGACTGCTCGTTACCGACCTTGGCTTGTTTACTGACCACGCTTCTGCCTGATCCCAACCTGCGACTTCTCATTACCGACCTTGGCTTGTTCTCGACCATGCTTCTGCCTGATCCCAACCTGTGACTTCTCATTACTGGCCTTGGCTTGTTTACTGACCACACTTTCGTTTGATCCTTACCTGGTTAATACGCTACTGAACCTCCGCTTGCTCACCTCCTGGTGGGGTGATCCTGAGAACTGCGACCTGGTGCTAACATGCAGCAAAATCCATCTCCACCATCAGGAGCTCTGGTGAACACCGGTTGGTACTTAGACTCCACACCTCAGTTGAGCCCACTCCTCTGCCACGGTGACCTGCCTGTGTACCTATCCTAATGGTTTCAGGTAAGCCTTTCCACTGCTATAGCAACTGGCCTTCGAGCCTGACCCCTGATCATGACAATGGGGTAACAACTTTCTCCCAATTAAAAAATCTCAGATTTTTTTAAAGATGTTTTCACTTATTTTGAGTGGGACTTTTTTATTATTTTTATTTTTATATATATATGTCATTTTATTATAGTATTTTGGAGTGGAACACAATATATATTCTATATATATTTTTTTGCGCTGTTTGTATGATTTAAATATCGGGATGATGCCTGCAACTGCAGATGTCAATCCGGTAAAACCACTTTAACCTCTTGGCGCCGGCGCCTCCCAACCCTTTAAGAGGTTGCAGAAGCTGGGAGGCGGGCGGGGTTTTAGGGTCATGTGACCGCCATGATTCGCCGTCATGGCGGTCACATGATCGGAAAAGTTTCCAATCAAAAGGGGAGATCGGGACCTTTCTGGGAGTAGCGGACATACATGCAGGGCGCGCGCTCTCAGCACATATGTATTTTCTAATGGCACACAAATATGTGACCGCTCAGCGTCAAGACCCAGATGCCGAGAGGCCGCATATTTGCGTGCAATCGGCATCAAGGGGTTAATCTGCTGATGTAAAGGTACATTAGCTGGTCTTGAAGTGGTAGAATGACTTTGTCCAGGCAGCTAATAACAGCTTAGACTTCAGGTAGTCTTCAGGTCGTAGTGTAAAAAAATTGTAGATTTTAAGCTGCATTTTTCGTAATTTAAGGAAGAATATTTGTAGCAATGTTTTTGAAGACGAGCACTGCTAGAGAAACCTGTGTTTTGGACTCTTACACTTACAGACCATTTACCGTGATCTACCAGTGAGCCAAATTAATATGAGAATACGTGCACGTGGAAGTAAGACACTGACACTTCGCAGTTTGCCAACTTCCTAAAATTCTGTTTTATTGAGGAACTAACAGTATTATTTATAGGGCTTATGATGCAGGCAGAGCATATACAGTGGGGATGGAAAGTTTGGGCACCCCAGCTAAAAATTTGTATTAATGTGCATAAATAAGCCAAGGAAAGATGGAAAAATCTCCAAAAGGCATCAAATTACAGATTAGACATTCTTATAATATGTCAACAAAAGTTAGATTTTATTTCCATCATTTACACTTTCAAAATGACAGAAAACAAAAAAATGGCGTCTGCAAAAGTTTGGGCACCCTGCAGAGTTAATATCTTGTACTGCCCCCTTTGGCAAGTATCACAGCTTGTAAACACTTTTTGTAGCCAGCCAAGAGTCTTTCAATTCTTGTTTGAGGTATCTTTGCCCATTCTTCCTTACAAAAGTCTTCCAGTTCTTTGAGATTTCTGGGCTGTCTGTCACGCACGGCTCTTTTAAGGTCTATCCATAGATTTTCAATGATGTTGAGGTCAGGAGATTGTGAAGGCCATGGCAAAACCTTCAGTTTACGCCTCTTGATGTAATCCCCCGTGGATTTCGAGGTGTGTTTAGGATCATTGTCCATTTGTAGAAGCCATCCTCTCTTTAACTTCAGCTTTTTCACAGATGGCATCAAGTTACCATCCAAAATTTGATGAAATTTTATTGAATCCATTTTTCCTTCTACTCGTGAGATGTTCCCTGTGCCACTGGCTGCAACACAACCCCAAAGCATGATTGATCCAACCCCATGCTTAACAGTTGGACAGAGGTTCTTTTCATTAAATTCTGTGCCCCTTCTTCTCCAAACGTACCTTTGCTCATTCCAGCCAAAAAGTTAAATTTTAACCTCATCGGTCCACAGAACTGGTTTCCAAAATGCATCAGGCTTGTCTATATGTTCATTTGCAAAGTTCAAACGATGATTTTTGTAGTGAGGACGTAGAAGAGGTTTTCTTCTGATGACTCTTCCATGAAGACTATATTTGTACAAGTATCTCTTTATAGTGGAATAGTGTACCACAACGCCAGTGTCTGCCAGATCTTTCTGGAGGGATCGTGCAGTCAAACGTGGGTTTTGAATTGTTTTTCTCACAATCCTGCGAGCTGTTCTGTCTGATATTTTTCTTGGTCTTCCAGATCTTGCTTTAACTTCCACTGTTCCTGATGACTGCCATTTCTTAATGACATTCCGAACAGAGGATATTGACATCTGAAAACGCTTTGCTATCTTCTTATAGCCTCCTCCAGCTTTGTGAGTGTCAACTATTTTCAGTTTCAGTTTTCTAGACAACTGCTTAGAAGAACCCATGGTGCTGATTGTTGGGGCAAGGTCAGATGAGTCTGGGCATTTAAAACCTTTGAGATTGACATCACCTGGTCTTCCCAGACGATGATTGAGAACAATCCATGACACTGGCAGGTCTCAGCTTTGCAAAGGGGGCAGTGCATGCTATAAATTCTGCAGGGTGCCCAAACTTTTGCAGATGCCATTTTTTTGTTTTCTGTTATTTTGAAAGTGTAAATGATGGAAATAAAATCTAACTTTTGTTGACATATTATAAGAATGTCTAATCTGTAATTTGATGCCTTTTGGAGATTTTTACATCTTTCCTTGGCTTCTTTATGCACATTAATACAAATTTTTAGCTGGGGTGCCCAAACTTTCGATCCCCACTGTACATTGATTGGGTGAAAAGTCCACTGGGTTTCTGCGTGTTCTTCCATCCGTGTTGATATCTTCCAATCATTGTCCCCAAAGAGACTCATTCCCTTTTATGGGGGTTGTTTACATTATTATTATTATTATACAGTATTTATAAAGCGCCAATGGTTCGCTCAGCGCTGTACATTACAGAGGGGGACAGAACATGTGACAGAACAATACCAATACAATGTGATACACGAGGGGTTCGAGGGCCCTGCTCTTTCGAGCTTACAATCTAGGAGGGAGGGGGTGGTGGCACAGGAGGAGATAGCTGTGGGGGATGGAGTGGTAGGAAGAGTGGAGGAGGTCGGCAAGTTAGCAGGGGGTGGGGTAGGCTTCCCTGAAGAGATGGGTTTTCAGGGTGCGCCTAAAGGAGAGGAGAGTAGGTGATAATCTGATGGGTTGGGGCAGGGAGTTCCAGAGGATGGGTGACACCCTGGAGAAGTCCTGGAGGCGGGCATGGGAGGAGGAGACCAGGGAACTAGAGAGAAGGAGGTCTTGTGAGGAGCGCGAGTGTGTGTGTTGGGCGGTACTTGGATATTAGGTCAGTGATGTAGTTCGGGGCAGTATGGTGGACAGCTTTGTACGTCAGCGTTAGGATTTTGAATTTGATCCGTTGCGCAATCGGAAGCCAGTGGAGGGATTGGCAGAGGGGGGTGGCGGAGACAGAGCGGTTGGAAAGGTGAATGAGTCTGGCAGCCGTATTCAGGATCGACTGAAGCGGGGATAGCCAGCGGCGAGGCAGGCCAGTGAGGAGGGAGTTGCAGTAATCGAGTCGTGATATGATGAGAGAGTGGATGAGCTGTTTAGTGGTTTCTGGGGTTAGGAACGTGCGGATTTTGGCGATGTTGCGGAGGTGAAGTCTGCACGAGTTTGTTAAAGATTGGACTTGGGGCTGGAAGGATAGGTTGGAGTCCAGAATGACACCAAGTACTCTGGCCTGCGGGGCGGGTTTGATGGTGGCGTTGTTGGATGTGATGGAGAAGTCAATGGGGGGTGGTGTCCGGGCTGGGGGGAAGACAAGAAACTCGGTTTTGGAGAGGTTCAATTTAAGGAAGTGGAGCGACATCCAGTCTGATATGTCGCTCAGTAGGTGTGTGATTCGGGCTGAGACCAAGGGGGTGAGGTGGGGGGTTGAGAGATAGATTTGTGTGTCGTCGGCATAGAGGTGGTAGTTGAAGCCGTGAGAGTGTATGAGTTGGCCAAGGGAGGAGGTATAGATGGAGAAGAGAAGGGGCCCAAGGACAGAGCCTTGAGGGACCCCAACAGAGAGGGGGAGTGAGGGGGAGGTGGTAGCATTATAGGTAACGCTGAAGGAGCGTTGTGACAGGTAGGATGAGAGCCAGGAGAGAGCAGAATCTCTGAGGCCGAGGAAGTGTAGTTTTTTGAGGAGGAGGGGGTGGTCGACTGTGTCGAAGGCCGCAGAGAGGTCAAGGAGTAGGAGCACAGAATAGTGGCCATTAGCTTTGGCGGTTAGCAGGTCGTTGGAGAGTTTGAGTAAGGCAGTTTCGGTGGAGTGTAGGGGACGGAAGCCGGACTGTAGGGGATCGAGGAGGTTGTTGTCGTTGAGGTGAGAGCATAAGCGGGTGTAGACTAGGCGCTCGAGGAGTTTAGATGTAAATGGGAGCAGGGAGATGGGTCTGAGGTTGTTCGGGTCATTGGGGTCCAGGGAGGGCTTTTTAGGTATGGGGGTGATGTGTGCATGTTTCAGAGGGGAGGGGAAAGTGCCTGAGGAGAGGGAGAGATTGAAGATGTGGGTGAGGGAGCGTAGGATGGAGGAGGAGGAAGGTCGTAGGAGTTGTGAGGGGATAGGGTCGAGGGGGCAGGTGGTGAGGTGGGCATCAGAGAGGATCTTGGAGACTTCCTCGATGGTAGTAAGGTCAAAGGTGCGGAGTGTGGGGGGAACTTCAGTATGAGGAATGTAGGGTGGGGTGGAAGAGGAGGTCAGAGCAGTTTACATTAAAAGATACTTTTCTCCTAATGAGTCACCAAGGGTGAGACTCTGGATGAAGGCGCCATCTTAATTATCATCATTGTTCTGTCAACCTATATCTGATTGTTTACTTAAGAGTAAGGAATTTTTTTTTTAAAGAGCAAGAAACATAAAGTAGCAAGACTATAAAATTGTCATTTTACTGATCATCTAATAAAACGTGGACTGTCTATCACAATCCACTACAATCCCCCCTTAAAATGGCTATTTTATTCCTGACTGTCCCTATGTCTTCTGATGTCCTAACTGCCTGGTGGCCCTCCCCCTGGAACTCTTTTAAGACGCATATAGAGCCCCTGAGTGGCTAATCCATCCCTAGAGTCTCGATACGTCCTGAGAAGGCCACAGTCAGGCACTGTCTTTCCCTGCTTATAGTTGTCTGTTGGGGGGGGAAATTTGTAGCATTCCCTTTTTTTTATAAATCTGAAATATGATGATCAGGGGCCATGGTCTGT